CTGGTGGTGCCCGCCTGCACGTGGACAGCACGAGATAAGGCAGGAAGTGGGTGAGCAAGCTGCGAGACGGCACGGAGCAGGCGTGGCACCGCACGTGCATGGCCATGGCGGGGGGGCGGGGCACTGGCGAGGGGGCGCAGAGTCAGCCGGGGGCCTGCGTGGTGTCTGCAGAATGCTGAGACCGGGCAGAAAGCTCAGGGACCCACTGCTGGAGCCACTGGCTGGCGCCCAAGATTAGGCCAGGCCCACAGCTGCGTGAGCGCCCAGGAACGGGCGTCCCCCCTGCACTCACCTGGCCTCAACTTCCTACCCGGCTCCTCAGCCTGCATCCTGGCCAGCCTCTCCCACCCCAGGAGCCAGCCCTGGAGGCCGCCCTGCCCGGCCCTGCCGCTGCCCAGCCCTTGGGCCTTGCTGGGTGGGACCAATGTAGACATGCCAGACGGCCGTGCCCGGGGCCGAGCATGAGGGCAGGCCATCCCCATGTGGGGGACACCCAGGTCAGAACTCTGAGCTGGGGAACAGCTCCGGAACACGGGCCCCCAGGGTGCCACGTCAGGCTGCAGGCCCTGAGCTGTGCATTTCTGCGCCCAGTTCCACTACGTCTGGCCCCCAGGGGCTCCTCGGCCAGACGCAGGGCGCGGTCGCGCTGGTCTCGGGCATGGCAGCGTCCCGCGTGTAGTTTAGACTGCACGCCTCGCTCGTCCAGGTGTGGCCGGCCCGCTCCTCTGGGACGCTCCCTTCCCTGGTACGGCAGCTCTCCGGCCCCCCGGGTGGCCTCATCTCCTCCATGCCAACACGGGTTTCTGCTCCTGCGCGCTGGGGCCTGGCAGCCCTCGGGCCGCTCGGCATGGAGTTCTCCCCTCATCCCGAGAGCCCCTTCCCCTCCTGGGTGAGGGCCCGTCCCTCGGTTCCCGCGGCTCTCCCGGTTCACACCGCGGTACAGCTGGAGCGCGTCCTGCAGGAGCTGCCCGAGGAGATGCGGTCCGTCCGACAGTCCCTGTTCCCCTCGCACGCTGAGTCGGGCAGCCGCGGGGGCGTTTCTGGGAGAACTACGCCTCTTCGGTTCTCGAAGGCTCTGTTCCTTTGCCTTTTACTTTGCAGCGATCAGGGCTGGAAATTCGAGGTCGGCAGGGTCCCCTGCTCTGCACGTCGATCACTTGTTGTTCTCCCTGGACGCTTCGCGGATCTGCCGCGTGAGGCTGGATGCTGGGGGACTTCTTCAGAAACTCCTGCTGGAGGCTGGGTCTCCCAGCCCCACCTTCCTGCTTCCTCCCGCTCCTGCTGTCTGGGAGTCACCGAGTCTCCTCGCCCTTGCCCTGCAGTGGCCACCTCCTCCTCCGCCGGCGTGAAGCACCACCTGGGTGGTTCCATGTCCCCCGTGCGAGGTGCCGAGTCACTGCCCATTGGCTGTGTGCACACAGGAGCCCTGGTGGGGGTGACGCTCCAGCACTCCGTGGGGGACCAGGTATCTGAGCGCATAGCTCTGCCCCCTGGGCCACGCGCGGGTACTTGGGAGCAGACCTCTGTTCTCCCTCTGGCCTTGGGGCTGGAAGTGCAGGGGGCAGCTCCCCCCTGCAGGGTGTGCACCCCGTTGGCCATGGACGTCGGCGTCCTCTGGGCTACCGATGGGCCTCCATCCGGCCGTGCTGCCCCTCCACCTCCTGTCACTTCCTCTTGTGTCCATGCTTCAGGGGAGCGAGACGACCCAGCACGCAGCCTGCAGGGCTAACCGCGCGCACCAAATGTTGGGCTCAGTCCATGTAACGCACTCCCGTGTCCAAGACGGTGGCAGGAGCCCCGGACCGTGGGGACCCTGGGGCCCAGCTGCACTGCACGGCCCTGGGCCAGCATCTCCACCCTCTGCTCCTCCCTGCAGCCCTGCGAGGCCAGACCCATGTGTCCTTCAGTGCCTCAGCCTGGGGGCGCTGGAGGGAGAAAGCGAGGGCCCGCGGGTGGGTCCCAGGGCTATGCACCCCCGGGGGCCAGTGGGGGCTGGCAGGGCCCATGACCAAAGCTACCTTTCCGTGGCCAGGTGCCGGGCCTGCAGGTAGGGCTTAGGAAGTGGGTGTGGAGGGCCAGGTGCCGAGGTGTCTTACACCCAAGTGGGCTGGCAGCCTGGCTGGAGGCGTGGAATGCCAGGAGGTCAGGGAAGAGGGAGCGGAGGCCAGGCCAGGGGGCAGCAGCGGGTGGTGCCAAGGGGCCTTGCAGGTGGCCAGGCGGAGCAGGGCTGAGGACTACAGCCACGCTGGGCCGGCGGCAGGAGAGTGGCCTCCATGTGGGCACTGTGCCAGCCTCGGAGGCCAAGGCAGAGGTTCCCATGTCCATCCCACAGGCCCAGGCCCCCACGGCTACGTGCGTGAGGCCAGCACTGAACGCACCTGCCGACCAGTGGGGCCGGTCTCAGAGGACAGTGCGTGCCTGCTCATCGAGGGGCGGATGCGGACGGCCGGGAAGGGGCCGCCTCGTCCCATGGACTTAGTTCCAGAAAACAAATCCTGGGAAGGCAGCGAGCCGGGCAGCTGAGCTGAACCACCTGCCCCAGGGGGCCGCAGCTGGACCACCTCCACCCAGGGGGCCGCAGCTGGAGGCTGGCGGGGGCAGGCCGGGCCCTGGGAGAACTCGAGGGCTGCAGCTGCAGAGGGAGGAGGCTGGGTCTTCCTGGGAGAGGGTGTGAGGCTCGCCAGACGCCCTCCCAGGAACTATAATGGGGTTCCCGGCCGGCAGACGCGGGGCCTGGTCAGACGACAGTTTGTCACCCCCCGAGAGCATGCCTGGCATGGAGCAGGAGGAGCCCAGGCATGGAGTGAGAGCGAGGCCTCGGAGGGGGTCCCAGCCCTGGAGGGGGAGCCCAGCCTTGGCGGGAGAGCGCAGCCCTGGAAGGGAGCCAGCCTTAGGGGTGGGACAGGGCGCAGAAACCAGCACAGTGGGTAAGAGTAAGACACAGGGCACTTCTGAGAATCAGCGCCCCCAGGCAGAGGAGGGGTGCCAGGCCAGGACTTTTAAATGTGAGTCACCGATGAGCCAGGCAGAGACTCTCCTCTGACTTAAAAAAAATGGGCGCCAGCCTTGTGTTACGCACTAAAGGCGGTCAAGAGAGCGACGGCCTCGGGAGCGCGCCTTGGTCTGTCACTCAGCCCCACCGTCAGGTTATTACAGCTCCTCGGGGCGGCTGAGGGCGGCGGGCCGTCAGGTTATTACAGCTCCTCGGGGCGGCTGAGGGCGGTGGGCGCGATGCTCCAGAAAAGAACAGTCCATGACGGGGCGGCCAACCGCAGCCACCAAGCAGGGGCACGATGCTGGGGGGCCACTGGTTCTATGCAGAGAGGCTGGCGGAGGGCGCCCCGGCAGGGGGCTGGCGGGAGCTGCGCCATCCCCTTCCTGGAACGCGGCCCCGTTATTGGCAATCCGCTCTGTTGACCAATTAGCCCAGCCACAATCAATTAGCACGTCCGGGGCCCTGGAGCGGCTGTCCCTCGCTGGTGCCCCCAACAGCAAGCCCAAGCCGCACTGGAGGGGCGGAAACCAGACAGCGGGAGACCAGAGGCGCGTGCGCCTCCTTGTAGCCGGCCAGGTCCGAGGGGGTGTCCTGCGGGAGCGGGCCGCGGGCAGGCAGAGCGGTCTGAAGTCACAGACTCCGACGGGTGGGCACACCATTTGGTGGGTGGCTCAGGGTGGCAGAGGCCCTGGACCAGGTGAGACTTTGTATTTTTAATTGGCAGAGGGTGCGTGTACCCGCCAGAGAGACAGCAAGAGGGAGAAAAAAATCCCCAAAGAGGCGTGGGCACGCTGCAGCCCCTCCTCCGTTCCCCACCCTGCTGAGATCTGGGCATGTGTGCACACGTGCCTGGCATGTGTTTTAAGCCGCTGGGGCTGGGACTAGAACCATGCCGCTGGCCATGTGGGCTCTGGCTCCTTTAACCATGAGGCCCCAGGCCGGTCCCTGGGTGAGGCTGTTTGGAAACCAGCCCCCAGACCTGTATCTGCTGAGCGCTGCGTCAGGGCCAGGCCCTGGGGTTGGGGACACCAGTCACCACCCACTGGGACAAGACTGAGCCAGGAGTGGCCGAGCAGCTGCAGGTGGAGCAGCCACTGCCCGGGCCAGGGCACCGCCCCCAGCCAAGGCCGGCCCTCTGCCCTCTGAGGCCCAGATCCGCCCCGACGGCGCGGAGTGACCTATAAGGATGGGGTTCTCGTGGGTCGCCGGTTGCAAAGCCCCGAAGGTGTCCCGGCACGTGACAGTGACAGGGGCCACCCCCCAGCGCTGGTCAGCCACGTGGGAGCACAGACACAGACTTCTCACTGCGTCTCCCTTCCCGGGCAGCCTTCAGGCTGCAGCGCAGAGTCCACAGAGGTGCCCGCTGCAGCGCCCCTCAGGCCCGCCGGCTCCTCACCACAGGGAGCACTGTACAGCTGCAGCTCGCCCGAGGCCTGGGTGCACCAGGGGAAGGGCAGACGGCCCTGACAGCCCTGAGACCACGGGCACGGCGGCCTCGCCGTCCTCCCCCGCCGGACACCAGACAGGGTGGGGTGACCATGCTGTCGTGGTAGGGGGATGGAGGGCCCTGGGACGAGCAGGGAGGGGTTCCGAGGCAGAACGGTCTCGGCCATCAGCCCCGTGAGCCCGGATGCAGGCAGCGCACTACCCCGACGTGAAGGGCCCCCGGCGTGCCAGCGGGCAGGGCTCCGAGCCCACAGCACGAGTCCCAACGCAGGACCGGCCAGGTGCAGAGCTGCCGCGGGGTGGAGGATTCCAGGGCGGGGCAGCCCTCACAGCGGAGCCCAGGCGGGAAGACAGAAGGGCAGTGTGCATTGCCCAGGGGGCCCAGGGCCAGCCGTGGGAGGTGCTGTGACAGAGGCTGGGGGACCCGGTCTCTGGGCGGCGTGGCCACTTCTGCCTCTGGTGGGGCTGAAATGAGCTGTGTCTCGGCCGCAGGAAGGCCACGCCGAGAGGGGGATGGGTGAGGGCTGGCTGGGGTCCACGGGGAGCCCCCAGGGAGGGGCAGTCTCGGTCACCGGCCCGGCCACCCTGCGGGGCGCCGTGCCACTCACCTGCGGAGGAGCTTGGCCTTGAGCGAGGCCCGCGAGGCGCTCCAGGAGCTGAGCTCGGGGCTGCTGAGCGCCGTGGGCCGCGTGTGGTCCAGCACGGTGAGGTCCTTGCCCTGCTTCCACAGCGCGTAGCGCTCGGGCTGCAGGATGCGCACGAACACGTCCATGGAGATCTTCACCATGTCCTTGCGGCAGGTGCACTGTGGGCGGGAACACAGCCTGAGCGCCAGCCTGCAGCCCAGCGCCCAGCGCCAGGGCTCTCCGAGACGCGGACGGGGCGCGGGCCCGGGGAGTCCACCCCTTCCCCGAGGCCCGCCCCACTGCGAGTCTGTACAGCCTCGCAACCGTCCGAGCAGTGAGGATGCAGCCTGCCGCTGAGCTGCCCACGGCCCGGTGCTCTGAAGCGGCAGGGAGAGCGGCACCTGGCAGTCCCCAGAGTGAACAGACATTGCAGCGAGCATTTGCCCGTGGGGGCACAGGCTGCCAGAGAGGCAGGGAGAGGAGAGTGCCCCAGGTGTGGCCACCGTCCCTTCTCCTGCATCCCCTCCCGCGGTCCTCGTTGTGCACAGAGCCTCCTGCACCTAGAGCCCATCCCCAAACCACTGAGCGCTCCTCACGGAGGAGACCAGGATCCAGACGGGGTGGGCGGGAGAAGGTGGGGACTGCAGCCAGGGGTGGCGTGGCCAACCGCGCCTACGGC